TATATATATATATATATATATATATATATATATATATATATATATATTTCTCTTCTCACATAGAATAAACTTCCTGAAGTCAGGAGGGCACTTTTACTGGCATATAAACCATAAAAATTATAGTATGGGTTTGGAAGTAGGATACTGGGATAGCCTAATATGTATACAAAGTAAAGCCACATGGCAATCTTTGTGATATTAAATCTCTACTCATCTCGGACAGTTGTGAAAATGGGCACTAGAGTTATCAAAATCTATATATCTGGAAATTATCGTGAAATTCAAAGACTGATTCTTTATGATAAAACAAAATAATATACCATACTCATCCTCTTGATTCAATCTATTAGTTATAAGAAACTTTTTCAAAAATAAATTATGACATCACATAGGGTTGCTAATCTCTTATTTTCTGTGTAGTGTTTATTATTGAGTCCTTTAATTATAGTTTCTCTTTAACTTTAAATTTTATTATGAGTCAAACTTAAATAAATTATGTAGAAAGAGAAAGGATAAATTTAGATTGTCAGGATTTGAAATCCAAGCATTCAACTGCTAAATAAGTTCCCAAATCTAATATCCTGTTCTGATATATGAAAATATGTATCTGAACTGAAAAATTGAAAAACTCTGTAGAATACTTTTAGGTTTCTGATGTCAATACCAAACATTAAAAGTTTGTATCTGTGACTATTTTATACATTTTGTTGAAAAGATTCATTGTTTTCTAGTTAACTAAAGCTGGTATGATGTTGCATTCACACTGAAACAGGAGCATTGAAATCCCAAGGCTAACTTGGGCTGTACAGTGAGACTGCTAACAGCCTACGTTACAGAGCGAGACTCTTATCGATACATCTGCATGATTAAATGCAGCCTGTTTTTTTGCCTTCTTTTCACCCGAATCACATAGAAAAGAATGATATGTGTCTTCTTTCTATGAAATACACATCTCAACTTCATCCAGGGGCAGTACCAACAGCACCATGGATCATCATTTTTGAGCTTCCTTAGGAAAGAACATGTGTTCCTTATTCTCAGATGCCATGCTGTAGCCTTCCTTTCACTTATAATACCTGCGTTAAAGTCATTAAGCACAGTCTCACCATGTAGCACCAATAGAAGATATGTAATAAACAGAGTAGGTTAAAATATCTATAAAATCGTAATTTAATATTCTCTATTTGCATTTAAATTTTTACAGATACTGATAGGTTCCTTTAGGACCTATATTAAAGAAATTTCAAAGGAACATGGAAAGAGAAGGAAAATTGAATTGTCTTCAGAACATTTTAATGAAGAAGTCTTGGTGTTCTCCATTTTATGCGTAGTTAAAACATATTCAAGTAGCTAGAAATAAAGTTGAAAACCAAACAAGAGGGCCTTGTACAACTCTTATACACAGAGTTTGTATTTCACCATGACCTTGCTCCCTTTCTAAATATAGCACATAACAGAACATTCGAAAGTTTTGTTACAGCAGCATGACAGGCCTGGACCTTGACTTTCTGATCCCATTGATGTAAAGCTGTTCTGGTTGGTTTATATTTTATGGAGTGGCAACGGCTGATGTTGAACAAAGCACTGTGAGAATGTCTCCTGGTGATAACAGATGTAGAAAACACTTTAATGATGGTGTAGACCTTTGAATATTAAAGAATTAGGTGACATTGTGAAACTTGCAGGCAAATAGATGGAAGCAGAAAAGGTCATCTTGAGTGAGGTAACCTAGAAGCAGAAAGATACACAGGGTTTATACTTATCTACAAGTGGATATCAGTCATACAATATAGGATAAACATACCAAAACCTACAGACCCAAAAAAGGCAAACAATCCGGAAGACCCTAGGGAAGATGCTTAATTCTCATTCAGAAGGGAAACCCAGCAAAGACACCTAAGGCCCTTAATTAAAGAAAGAACAGGACAGGAGCCCATGGAAGATCTCCTCTAAAAGCTCCATCCAGCAGGAGATCAAAGCAGATGCAGAGACACACAGCCAAACCCTGGACAGAGCTTAGGAAGTCCCATGGAAGAAGTAGGGGATAGAAGGACCCAGAAAGGACAGGAGCCTCATGAGAAGACCAACAAAGCCAAAAAGCTGGATCCAGGGGAGACTGGAAAGACTGATGTATCAACCAAAGACCATGCACAGAGAGGACCTAGACCTCCTGCTCAGGTAGCCCACAGACAGCTCAATCTCCATGTGGACTCACCAGCAAGGGGAGAAGACACAGTCTCCAACATGAACTTGGTTGCCTGCTCACCTCTGATTGGTGGGGTGACCCAGCCAGCCCACAAAGGAAGAGGATTCAGGCAATCCTGATGGGACCTAGTAGGCTAGACTACATAGAAAACTGCTCAAAGGTGGTAAACAGTAGGCAGAATAAGGAACTTTACCATACATAAACACAAGAAGAAAGCTGTCTGAAAGGGAGATTAGACAGTAATTACCACCAAGGACGTTCCCCTCCCAACAGAGAAGTGTAGGAATCAGTTTCAGTACTGAAGTGTGGTGAGGCTAGCAACAACAAATGAAGTCTCCTTACAATAAGGAGGCCTGATATTTTAAGTTGGTGTGATGACTTTCACAAGGAGCTACATGCTGGTAAAATACAGAGCTCTTGATCTACATTCCCTCTCACACGAATGTGCATCTTCACCTAAAACTCTTTTATTTTGGAAAAGATTTTTTTATGACTAGAGCATCCTTAACTATTCGACATTCACTTCCGCTTTCTTATCCTAAGCTTCAGCAAATACATTAAATATAGCTATTTAAGTAAAGTAATTCTTCCGCTAGTGTAGTAACAGGAAATAGTATAATCTCTAAAAATAACAATAACAGAGCTTCTCTTTGTTTCGGTAAATCTATTTGTGATTTTATTAAAGGAACATTAATGACTTTGTGTTCTTTTATTAAATTTATCTGCTTATCAAATGAAAGTGAAATACACAAAATCCTGGGACATTAGACAGAGCCCGACTTTTCCAACTGTCTCTTCAGTGGCTAGAAGGTACCAAATGAATGTTCATTCTTTTGAAGGCATTGTAAAAAAGATAAGTTACCCTATAAATTTTTCTTTTCATTGATTATAAGAATATTGAGTGTTTCTTGCACATTCCCAGTGCACCCAAACACACTGTTATTGTTTGCTATCATCCATGGAAGATATTGAATATTGTGGAGAGACAACAAGCAGATGCAATACGATATTTTAGGAGGTAGGGACCACGTTGTCTCCTGACAAGCACAGACAGCCGTTAAATCAGGATACGTAGAACTGAAAGGCAAATATCATTAGTAGGAGTGTTCGTGTCACTAAACTGCTGCACATTTGTTCCATGCACAGTGTACATTGTATCACTTTAACTGTCTCTTTGTCTTTCAATCTTCATATATTAGTCTTAAGACCTTAAATGAATAAGTAAAAAAAAAAAAAAAATGAAACAAGACTGAGGATTTAAAGTCTCTAGCTAAATTTTGAGATAGAATAGAAAAATTTAAGAGAACTTTTCACTAGGGCATCACAGCAGATGCTGCAGATGTCACAGGCAGAGGTGCTTAGGTATTCCAAATACCTAGAAGATTTTACAGGGAGGTGTCCTTTGCCACCAAGTGGTGGCTCGCTAGTTAGCAACTGCAAAGTTAGGCTCTCAGAACAACCATGTGTCTTCTTCCTTGAATTAGGAGCACTTTAATTTTAAATTTAGTGATATATCAAAAGTGAAAAAATATGTTTTAAAAGCTAATTCTGAAAATCTTATTTCACTATGTAGTTCTCAGGTGGTTTGATTTTCTTGAAAGATGAGTTATACTTAATGAAAAAAAGGCTTAAGTCATGAGCACCATATTTATTTTTATCTTATTCAAATTTTTGCTAATTTTAGATGAATTGACCACTTGAATTATTCACATTCAGAAAAAAAAAATGGAATAAAAATCTGACTCTCAAGAGAAATGTAGGATATTCAAGAAAGTACTAAAGGAATTTCCCCAAAATTCACATATCATGCCATTAGTAATAATTCTGCTAATGGCCTGTCGTATTTCTTGATATTTATATACACACATATATGTACATACATATATAAATATATATTTCTTCTCTCATTCAATACATCCCAACCACAGTTTGCCTCCCTCCACTCCCAAGTCATCACATAATTCATTTTAAAAAATTAAATCATTAAGTAATTTAAAATGTAACATACTTTGTTCGTAATTTTATTTCCTGTTTTTATGTCACCTTTTCCTATCTTAGGGGTGCAAACTCATCAATGACGATATTATCAACTGGAAGTGGCCCATTTGTGAAACTAAACAAAGCTCCTAATGGCAGCTTGATACTAACACCTAGGTGGGTACTAAGATGCTTTATTTTTATTTGATACATTGGAGCAAATAGGAAATATTTCGAAGCCAATAATATATCAGTGGTAGCACATACAGACCACATGTATGTGAAAGTTGTTCAACTTCTTTTACTTGTGTAATGTCAAGCAACAGCTAACTGATTTTTTTTTTCTGACAGGATTGTCCGATACTCATTTTTATGACACAGTCTAATAAAGTATAAGTCATTAATGTTCTGGCATACAGATAGGGAAAGGATATACCCTAATACTATTTTTATTATATTTTAAAGCGCTAAACTCCATGAAAAGAAATTGTAAGTCTTAGAGTAAATAGGATCTATGCTCCTCAGACAATCATCAAAAGGCAAAGGGTTAGATGAGAATCAAATGTTATTTTTCTTAGTAAATAAAAATGAATATCACTTAAAATAATATAATAAGATCTATTACATATCTTGTTTACTATTTTAAGTTAGTTTTACTCTTTCCCATAGCCTTTTGTGAGGTTTAATGCAGCATGTTTCATTCAAAAGTATGTCATGGGTAAAGTGTGTAATTTCTCCTGTTTAGGGTTTAGTGGTGATTTTTTTTTTTTTTTTGCTTGAAATTGATGAAATTAGCCTCTGAATTTTATAATTCCGTTATAGCCAAACTGTGACTGAGAAACAACTGTAAGGAGGCATTGAAATTGCACTCTAACAATTAGCATCCTATTAGCAGTTTATTTTGTTTAACAGACTTGATGTTAAAAATAGGATCATCTTGGCTCTGTCGGTCTCCTTTTGGAGCTCCTGTTCTCTCCAGGGGAACCCTAGTAAGGGGAGCAGGGCTTTCTCTGAAATGAACTCAGTGGCTGACTCTTTGTTCACTTCCCTCTGATGGGAGTACAGCCTTGCCAGGCCACAGAGGAAGACAAAGCAATCAGTCCTGATGAGACCTGATAGGTTAGAGTCAGATAGAAGAGGAGGAGGACCTCCCCTATCAGTGGACTAGGGGAGGGGCATAGGGGGAGAAGATGGGGGGGAAGGTAGGATTGGAAAGATATAAGGGAGGGGGCCACAGCAGGGATACAAATTGAATAAATTGTAATAAATTATAATAAAAAAGTAGCATCATCTAAATCCACACTTCAGGAGAGTCAACACTCCCATAAGCACAAGTAATAAAATAAATACATAAGGACTATATTTCGTATCAATGAAAGGACCTTGGAGTTCAGTATTTTATAGCAGTGTTGACTGATATCATGAGTCTCACCGGGGTGAGTCAAACCACCTGAAAGTTTTCAAACAAGTTTCCCAACTTCTTTTCTATACGAAGGATGCCTTATAGGGCATTCTGAAATTCATGGTTCTCCAACATGTTGAGAATTCTACCTAATCATATTTCATAGAGGTAAATATTAATAAGAAAGAGAAAAATAGTTTAAAGCTATTCAAATTAATTAAATGCCTGGTTCAGAGGAGGACCACTTCATTCTGTTCTTATGAAAACGTGACAGTATAGTCTAATATTCATGCCACTATTATACTTACATTCGTGATATTTGAAAAGAAAAGACTTTATATAGATGCACTCTTTACCTTTCTTTCCGTGAAAAATGACGATTTCCTTAATGTACTCAATCCTTTCCTTAATTGGCCATATTATACTCCACTGGCAAAATTGAGACATATTGATTTATTCATTCCCTTGGTTAATTAATGTATGCTTTGTTTATTTCTTATATTACTTCAGAGTCATATAAAAATGGTGCTTTTGAGAGCACCCTAGTTCTAAGAGTTGTAAGAAAAATAAGAAAGAAGTTACCAGAGAAAAATTGAAAATTTTGTTTAATTAATAATGAACTATTAACTGCTTCTGTAGTTAATAAAAAATAATTATGTATTGTTTTTTCTTTGTAACACTTGTAACCTGTGAACTATTTTGAGTATAGATTTTTATTTATGAGTACTGTAGATGGGAAAAGCATTTTCTGAGACTTTAAAGTATCTTATGAGGCATCATATAAACTACTTTCCACCCAAACACAGGTAGAAATCAAAAGAAAAAGTAATTGCGATTTTGAGGCATTTTATAGAAAGATATATAATCATATAATCACACACTTGTTAACAAAGTACATTTTCTCATATTTCTACTGAAAGTGTGTTCTATGTTAAACAATATTATCAAGAATGGAATGTAAGCACATGTTCTTTTAAATAAGCTTTACCATGCATGTTCTAAATTATTGAGTTTGCATTGTTTTGTATTTTTTCCTTTATCCATTTTCCCAAAGTAAAAGTACGTAAGCAACATGCACACCTCATTTAGTTAAGTGCATAAGTGTAAAACATTTAATTCCATGTGTGCCCATGTTTCTTATTTAACTTGTAGGATATACTCAGCAGGAGTGTAAAGTGTTATGATTCCTGGTGTAACATTGCCCTCTGCTGGTTAGACTGTGTAACACCTTGTAAACAAATTTTCTCTATGTAAAGTTTTTGGCTTTTGGGAAGCCAAATTTCAAAATCATAGGCGGTACTTTTACAGCAGTTTATGCCTACGTGTTATTCCATAGTTACCTACATGCACATCTGCCTCTGTTACAAGAAGAAGCTGTAATTTGTTCACCACTCACTTTCCAGAATGAATTACACAGCCGCAAAGAATGATTCACTGAAGAGCTCTGAGCTTGGTGATACTGAGGTTGCTTCTCTTCAGCTGTTTGTTTCTTTGTTTTCCAGTATTAATTTCCACTGTTTCAGTTACCACATGGCCAATCATAGTCTAAAAATATTTAAGGGTAAATGTATACATTAGCAGTTCATTAGCTTCAATTCTCGCCAGTCTTGGTAATGATCTCATTGTGTCCTTCATGAACCATCTCTTGGTGTGGCATGATCAAGGCATGCATTACTTTTCCACTAATCCTTTAGAACTTAATTTAATTTTCAAAATTACTTGCAGTCTTCAGTGCTTTTCTCCAAGTGAGTCATAATTTGCTCAATAGTGACACCGAAGTAAAAGAATCATGTATTTCTTTAAGTAATAATTTCTGGCTAATAAGGAGAGAAAGAAAATCATATGTTGATGTTTCTAAAAATCTACAATCTGTAGAAAGCCTTTTTATCTAGTCATAAAATTGTGGAGAAGAAAGAAATCAACTTGTATTACTCTCATCATCATATCCCAAAATGCAAAATTTACAGCCGTGATATGTCATATTTGTTTGGTTAAAAGAGAACACATGGAACTTGTGGTTTAGTACTTTAACCAGTTTTATATATACTAGAACTATTTAAACATATTCCCTAAGAATAAGAAAATAAGAAGATCAAGGTTGGTGTGCGCAGAGTAGCAATACCGACCATTGGTCAAACATTACTTATGTTTAATTTGTGATAATAATTCCAAATCAAATGCTTTTTTATAATCTGCATAAAATTCCAAAGCATTATGTTCGATTACACCCATGTTAGTACAAAATAGCTTTCCTGAAATCACACGAAGTGGTAAGAATGCACGCACAGCCCTATTTGACATTCAAGTGGGTCATTTTCTTCTGTGGATATCAGCTTTCCTCAACTTTATATCTGGTACATAGATTTAAATATGTATTTAACTAACAAAAGTTTATTTTCTGTTATAGTGTACAGTGCTCACAAGATTCCTTGATTCAGTTACAATGTAACCATAAATGTAAGTTTTTGTCACCCTTTAAAGCCTTCAACTTAAAACTGCAGGCAGAATCTTATGTCACTTGAAGTTATTCAGTCATCACTTCATTTTTTATGGGCAACTGAATTTCCTGAAACTAAAGCATACATCTTTTCTTTGATTATTTTAATAGCATGTGGAGAAAAAATGGTGCCCCAGAAAGTCGCTGCAAAGATCGTTGGTGGAAGTCATGCCCAAGCAGGGGCCTGGCCCTGGGTCTTGGCTCTGTATTACAAGGACAGTTACGGAGAACGGCTGCTCTGTGGGGCGTCTCTGCTCAGCAGTGACTGGCTGGTGTCCGCTGCGCACTGTGTGTACGGGTGAGTACAAAAGCGCAGGACCAGCCTGGGAGTGATTCAAGAATGAGGGTGGCCTGGCAGGGCTGCTCTCCCCTCGGGGGGAGGTGATCAAAGAACAGGCCTATCAGCCTTACCAGGCCACAGAAGAGGGCAATGCAGCCACTCCTGATGTGATCTGATAGACTAAGATCAGAAGGAAGGAGAGGAGGACCTCCCCTATCAGTGGACTTGGGGAGGGGCATGCGCGAAGAAGGGGGAGGGAGGGTGAGACCGGGAGGGAAGGAGAGGGGGCTTATGGGGGATACAAACTGAATAAAGTGTAATTAATAAAAAAAAAAGGTACATCTAGGAAAAAAAAAAGAATGAGGGTGAGCCGAACACTCACCATCACCACAGATTGACAAGGATCAGCTGCTCCATCTTCTCCATCTGGTGCTAATAAAGATGTACCATGCATATTTATCTCGGAGTAAGCAGAATACAATCCAAGCTTTGTTGAGAGATATTAAGTAAACCTGACAAACTGAGGAGAAGTGAGAAAAACACTCCAGAAGGGGGAAAAAGGGTTCCAATACATGAAAAAGCCTTTGAAATAATTTATAGACCATAGCACAAACTGAACAAATGTTGAAATAAGTATTATGAAATCCATCAATTCTCTGGCCTGTCAGAAAATTTCAAATTCTCTTTTTTTTTATTTTTTAATTTTTTATTAATTACACTTTATTCATTTTGTATCCCCCCCATAAGCCCCCCCTCCCCTGCCGATCCCACCCTCCCTCCCCTTTCTGCATGCATGCCACTCCCCAAGTCCACTGATAGGGGAGGTTCTCCTCTTCTTTCTGATCTTAGTCTATCAGTTCTCATCAAAAGTGGCTGCATTGTCCTCTACTGTGGCCTGGTAAGGATGCTCCCGCCTCAGGGGAAAGTGATCAACAAGCAGGCTAATCAGATTATGTCAGAGGCAGTCCCTCTTCCCATTACTATGTAAACCACTTGGACACTGAACTGCCATGCAAATTCTCAACACATATGCTCTGTTCATGTTCTGCTAACCCAACCAGGAAAATTATCACATATTGCGCTGGCCCACTCGCCCAACAAGGAATATTTGAAGACCCCATAGTCTGCCTGTCTTCTGTTTTGTTAGTTATGACCGTCTACCTGTTGTTAGTTGCCTGACTGGGATCAATAGACTTCAACCTCGTAGTTGTCTCCAGTGCTATTAATTATGCTAAGATCTCTGTGTCCTCACAGCTACCAAAGGTATCTGTAGTTGTTACCACCTTGTCTACGAGACAATCTGGGTTTTCATTCCTGAAATAGATGAAGGCTTCCTTGAGATTACGTTTTAGTTACCTGCATTAAAAACAAGGATATGTTGAAGAAAAAAAAAAAAAAAAAAAAAAAAAAAAACAATAGCACTCAGATATAATTCCTGGGAGATTGAGATGGTGGTCTCAGAAAATCTAGCTCGCTGGTGGGCTGACACTGACCTGAATTCTCAGATCTTGCCTCTTATGAAGGCCTACAGGCTACCTTATATCCAACTGCAAGTTTTTTGTTGTTTTATTCCTAGGAATAATATGCTGTTGGCACTGGAATTCATGACATCACTGGATAAGTGCATTACTGGAGTAAATGTACACATAGATTAAAAAAACAAATACATAATCTTGAAGCATTCCAGTGCTTAGAGCTGGATAGGAAAGAGAGCTGAAGGGGGATAGAGAAAGAGTTAATTGAAAGGCAATCCCAAGTACATGGGCTGTTCTAAAAGTCATGCCAAGAAGCCTGTTCAAAGGTGATTCCTTGTGTTTCTGCAAATAATGATTATTTTGTGGCTTCCTCCTGTTTTGTTTATTTGTTTATTTTGTTTATTTGTTTATTGTTTATTTGTTTTGTTTATTTGTTTATTTATTTGTTTTATTGCCTTTTTGTTTTTTAGCACCCAATCACAAAGAAAATAGAAACTGAGTATGTTCTGATTGTCTACTCACTTTTCATAAAGATACTATATTTTTCATGCTTTATTTTTCATCTTTTGCACTTATTGTAGATTCATGCCCCTCCGTTACCAAGTTATTATGTTGACTAGTATAATCGTAATAGTTATTCCATGATGTCAAAATTGCTGACACTTGGCCAATTTTATCCAATTTAGTCTGATGTTTTTGTTCTTTCTGAATTATTATTGGTAATTCTTAATTTTTTAACTCTGTAGTTTCAATTTCAGAAACATCTTAATTTTTACTCCTTAAAATTATAATAGACTATACTCCTAGGAATCCTTATCATATTCAGAAGAGGGTTACTATAGAGTCCAAAAACCCTTGCTAGGAGAAGGCAGGGTTATGGACAAACTAGCTGAGGCTGTTCCCTGACACTTTCAGTAGTGGAGGAATTCAGTTGTACAATTATAGAACCCTACTTATGTTAACATCTACTTCATGATCATGTTGCTTTTCTGTGACACTCCTGCTATTTTCAATTCCTGAAGCATCGACGCAGGAAGCAACACCACTATTAGGGGATAACACTGGTTTACTTGTCTGGTGCAAGGTCAACTTCCTAACAAATATGCTCTCCTTTTTGAGGTTGACAGACAGCTCAGAGTACTTGTCTTTCTGCTCCCTCCCTCTCAGTTAATTCTAAAATAAGCATTTTTTACCACACTTGGCACATGGAGGTAAAGTTTGGCAGAATTAGAGCCAATTTCTACACTTGAAGGAGCCTTATCAAGGTAGCATCCAAATGACTGGGGATTGCTATCCGTATGACACCTGTCTTCTGTCTTAGAGGTGTATCTGCTTTCTTCTGCCTTCCAGCCTATCTCTTCACTACCTTTCCTTTCTTTCTTTTTTCTACTTTAATCTATTACATCCTGTTCTTTCTTTTCCTCTATCTTCTTTTCTTCAGAGCTCTGGTTAATCCCAAGGCTTTGCACATGCTAGCCAAGTGCTCAACCACTTTGGATAAAATGTAAAGTCTATGAAGAATGAAAAATTGGAAAACTCAATGAATCTCTTCTTTTCAGCTACAATGACACCTACAAAGACATTTCTATCTGTTCCTCTGGGACCAGAAGCCAAATAAACTCTCCCTTCTATAAGTTTCTTTTCTCATGGTATTTTTCATACCAATACCAAAGTAACTAATGTAATGTAAATAGGTGTTTGAGAAGGTGTGTTATAAGAAAAAAAATATTGTTAATTAAGCTTGTTCTGTAATCTGATTAGGAATATCAATGTGCTGTCACAGGTGGAACCCAGGAAAGTTGGTCTCCAGGAATTGATGACACAGCAGTGGTTACCAGAGGCTAGCAAGGAAAAACAGGAGTAGAAGGAAAGGTTACTAGAACATAACGTAGAGGTTAATGTTCTATTGCTGAGCACTGTGGCGACAATGATGTACTGTATGTTTCAAAGAGGTAGAAGAAATTTTTTTAGTTTATTTTTAATTAAATTTTTATTTTTTATATTAGTTACAGTTTATTTACTTTGTATCCCAGCTGGCGTCCCCTCCCTCTTCTCTCCCAATCCCACCCTCTCTCCCTTATCTCCTCCCTGCCCCTCTCTAAGTCCACTGTTAGGGGAGGTCCTCCTCCCCTTCCATCTGACCCTAGCTTATCAGGTCTCTTCAGGACTGGCTGAAATGTCCTCCTCTGTGGTCTAGCAAGGCTGCTTCTCCCTCGGGGGTGGAGGGAGGTCAAAGAGCCAGCCACTGAGTTCATGTCAGTGACAGTCCCTGTTCCCCTTACTAGGGAACCCACTTGGATACTGAGCTGCCATGGGCTACATCCAAGTAGGAGTTCTAGGTTATATCCATGTGATATATACTCACTTATAAGTGGATACTAGACCTATCAGATAGGATAAACATACTAAAATCTGTACACCTAAAGAAGAGAAACAAAAAAAAGGACCTAGGGTAAGATGATCAATCTTCACTTAGAAAGACAAATGGGGTGGACATTGGAAGTAGGAGAAAACAAGTAACAGGACAGGAACCTACCACAGAGAGCCTCTGAAAGACTCTACCTAGCAATTTATCAAATCAGATGCTGAGACTCATAACCAAACCTTGGGCAGAGTGTAGGGGATCATATGAAAGAAGGGGGATTTACTATGACCTGGAAAGGACAGGAGCTTCACAAGGACCAAATATATCTGGGCACAGGGGTCTTTTCTGAGACTGTTTTTCCAACCAATGAGGTAAAAGAAATTATTTTTTAATAATTTCACCACAAAAAATAACAAATGTTGGAGAAACTTATGTTCTTACCTTGACTTAAACATTACAATATCATATATACTCCTGTATGGAAATATCAAATGCCATTTCCTAAGTATATCCCAGTTTTGTCAAGAGTGAAAAGTAGTAGAAAAATACTTTAAAGAAAGCATTTCCTGTAGGAATCAAGGAATGCTGTAGCGTGGAAATGCTGCACAGTTCTCATATTTTATGCTAGATAACTTCTGAAAAGTTCTCTTCTGAAGGGAAAGTTTCCTGACGATATTTTCTTAATACAATCTTCAGAAGAAATGTAGATCCATCCAGATGGACAGCAGTACTGGGCCTGCACATGCAATCAAATCTGACTTCTCCTCAAATAGTAAGACGCGAGATCGATCAAATTGTCATAAACCCTCATTATGATAAGCGAAGAAAGGTCAATGACATTGCAATGATGCACCTTGGCTTTAAGGTGGATTACACAGGTAAGAGAACTATGACTAGCCATCTCATCTGCTCACAGCAATCCAAAATGAGATTTGAAATGTCAGCCATCGCAATGCAGGGTTAAATCACTAAAATTTGTAATTTTCTGCAGACATCTTTATAACCTATAAACAATTGAAGATTACAGGAAGATATATGAAATCTCCTTCCATCATAGTACTTAAATCCGACTATGTAGAATACTATCAAAATGAACTCCTCTAGCTGAGCAGTGGAGAAGCTTCTGGAAGCGTGCCTGCCTCTTTTGTCTGTCATGCAATAGAAACAAGGGTCCACCTACCAAAAGGCACGAAGCAGGACACAAATAGAAAGATAATAGGTTAAATGAAGTATGTTCTCCATTTGGAAACAGTTTTAAAGGAGATCCAATAAGATTACTAGACCAATCAATGAAGGAATATCTCAAAGGCCTACATAGTAGGCAACAATTCACCTGATCAAGTTAAATTTGTCCTAAAGGGTTCTGTTCAATCTCAGCCATTACTCTGAAGTCTTTTCCAAGGCCCAGCTGGGAGAAACTACCATGCTCTGTGAAATTAGTTCATTTTTGCAGAATTTCATAAAAACAAGTATCATGATTATATGTTTGAGAATTAAATTCATGAAATCGCTCTACATGTGGATTATGAAAAAGCAGATCATTACGGTCCTTAGTAGCATCGTGCTTTTAGGGTAATCTTAATTTCTACACCTCTCATGCATCTTGTGGGCATCAGAGGCTCACTGAAAACCAAAGAATGTGTAAATTTATGTTGAAAGATCAGAGATGATATTCCTATAAGATCCAACTAAGGGAGTGGCATGCGTGAAGAAGGGGGAGGGGAGGGTGGGACCGGGAGGGGAGGAAGGAGGTGTTTATGGGGGGATACAAAGTGAATAAAGTGTAATTAATAAAATTAAATTAAATTAAAAAATCTCTCACTGCAAAAAAAAAAAAATCCAACTAAAACAATTGAGGGGAAAGTAGTGTTAATATGGTTGTACGTGTCAAGAATATTTTAAAATACTATCTGATACCTTTTTCTTAACTAACATTTTGAAAGAATGTAAAAAGGGCCAGCAAGATGCCTCAGCAGGCAGAGATAAGTGGGCTGAAGCACGTCTGTAGGCCTGATGACTTGAGTTTACTCCCTGACAGGAAAGAACCATCTCTCTAGAGTTGCCCTTCTTAAAAATGCAAATGAGTGAAATTTCACATACATACACAGACACGTATAATTGTCTATATAATTACATATATGTAAACATACACATGTAAATAAAATAAATTAAAATTTAAAAGAGCATTCTGAAGATTTTACAAAATTGTATGGTAACTCAAGTTATTATCATGATTATTTACAAATCAAATACAAATGGTAAATCCTGAAATAAGGCATAGTTTACATGGAGAATTGTTAATTAGGGAATGAAGGAGAGGAATACAAAGAGGCCACCAGTACCATCAAACAGACAAATAAGTGCTACCCTCAAACGTCTTTACACCTAATATCTGAAGATATTCAGCTGTAATAAAATCAAGAACAAACTTTTTAGATTAAAAGTTGGAAAATGGTTGTTTTTTTCCTTCTAAATTTGTTAGAAATATGAGTGGCATCTCTTAGTATGTTGGGTTTTTGTTGTTGTTATTTTGTTGTGTTTTAATTTCAGATTATATACAGCCTATTTGTTTACCAGAAGATAATCAGATATTTATTCCAGGAAGAATTTGTTCAATTGCTGGCTGGGGATATACTGAAATTCAAGGTAAGTTACCGCATTTGAAAAATGAGAAAATGTATAATAATAATTTTAAAAAGTATGCTACTGAAAATTGTTGTGGGTGTTTTCAACATTTTTACATTTTTTGGAGTATTTTTCTGCAGAATCTTCTAACCAGTTATCAGGATTATATTCATGTTTATGCCTGTATAGTGCCACCAAACATTTCCAGATTCTTTTCAGGACTACTATATCTTGAACAGAGTTTTGAAATCTCAGTAAGGCTAGGCAAAAAAGAAAGACAACTTTCTCTGGCCCAATCAACTAACTTCTATCGTTACAACAAATTATAGCCATAAAAACTAAATGCTCCCGATGTTAGTAAGATGAACATACAGAAATATTGTGGAGAGATCTGGTCTCAGAATCAAATCACATGCTTTGAAAGTATCTGGTGCAGCCTTGCCAGGCCACAGAGTAAGACAATGCAACCAGTCCTGATGAGACCTGATAGGCCAGGGTCAGATAGACAGGGAAAAGGACCTCCCCTATCAGTGGACTAGGGGAGAGGCATGGGAGAAGAAGAGGGAGGGAGGGGGTATTGGGAGGACACGAGGAAGGGGGCCACAGCCAGGATACAAAGTGAATAAATTATAATAAATAATAAAATTTTTAAAAATAAAATAGTCTTTGAGGAAAAAGTATGTAATGGCTGGGCGGCATTTTAGCCTTTAGTCGTATAAAACATGGTGATACGAAACCACATCACATCATACTTAGCCATACGAAAATACACTCTATACGTTTATTACACTCCGTTATTTTGCTTTTAAAATGTAATGGGAGAGAGGAGTTAGGTCAATATGACCAAAAGGCTGTGTGTACATGTATGAACAGACTGAAGAATAAACACAAAATATTCTTTAAAAAAATGGAAAAATTGTTTATCAAGATATCATCAAGCCAGTGATCACCAGCCTGCTGGTTCAGCATGATTCTTTATAACAGTCACACTATCTGGCTGACAGTAACACACAGCTGCTGTCTACAAAGCATATTCAAGTCAAAGACTATGTTTTTTGTATTTCCTCTGCTTGAAAAAGTCATGACTTATTAAGTTTGAAACTTAAACAGTAAAATTATTGCTAGATGGATGTTTTGCCTTTCAAACTTAAAAAAAAAAAAAGTTTAGCCACACTGTAGACATGAAAAACAAATTATCTGCTAACAAAATTTAGGACTCTTTATTCCATGAAGGTTTTTTTCAGAGCTCAGCAAGTGTGGCTTACTTATTGTTCCTAAAATATATGGTTAATTAAGTTAAAATGTCTTTAAAGGCAGTGTGGAGCCAGAAGAGGAAAACAACATCAAAAATCATTTAGAGTGAAATAGCCAGACCATGCTTCCATCCTTCTTACATGTTTTCATGGATTTCATTATTTTCCCTTCTGATTTTATACCTATTCAATACCATAAAATCACATGTTCTGATCCTATAAGTATATTTTACTAAGTAGTTATCTAAGATATTTCGAGTATATTTTTTCACTAGAAAAAATAAATAGAAAGCTAGGTGATCACTACTTTCAAATAATTATTTTTTTTATATTTACATGTGTGTTTTCTTAATCCTCCACATTGAAACTAATATAAAGAAATAAAAACGGGCTGGAGAGATGGGCGAGCACTTAAAAGTTTGCACTGTTCTTGCAGAGGACCTGAGTTCACATCCCAGGACCCAGTCTCTTTAGCCCACAACTAACAGCCTTTAACTCTACCTTAATGGGATCAGATAACTCTTCTGTTCTCTGGCCTGGGCACTCTTGTGCATGTCCACACAGACATGCACATAATTTATTTATTTTTCTTTTTATTTTTTATAAGTTATTCATTTTTTTTATCCAGATTGTAGCCCTGCTCCCTATCTCTTCCTCTCGGTCCATCTTCCCTAGCTCTTCCCCGCTACTCTGCCCTTAGACTACAGTAAGGGAGAGCATATGACCCTAGAGTATCAGGTCTCATCAGGACTGTCTGGATACCCTTCCTCTGTGGCTTGGCAAGACAGCCCCACCACAGGGAAGATGATCAAAGAGCAGGTAACAGAGTCCATGACAGAGATAATCCCCTTATTAGGAAACCCACATGGAGACTGAGGCTACATCTGAGCAGGGGTCTGGGTCCTCTCTGTGCATGATCCTTGGTTGGTGCATCAGTTTTTAAAGGCCCCTCTTGGGCTAGATTTGTTGGCTTCGTTGATATCCCTGTGGAGCTCCTGTCCCCTCTGGGTCTTTACATGCACCCACTCTTCCAAAAGATTCCCTGCACTCTGCCCAAAGTTTGGCTATGAGTCTCAGCCTCTGCTTCTACACCCTGCTGTGTAGAGTCTTTCGGAGGACATCTATAGTAAGCTCCATTCCTGTTCCTTCTCTTCAACTGCTTCCAGTGTCTATTCGACTTGCCTTTTTGAATGAGAATTAAGCATCCTCCCTAGGGTCCTCCTTGTTATTCAGCCTCTTTAGGTCTGTGGATTTCAATATGGTCTTTAAAATAATAAAAATAAAATTTTATAAAAGAATTAAATATTAAATATACAGACATCATTCATAGTTTTCTTTACCAGAGTCCTGTTATTGGAACTTTTTTTTTTTTTTTTGTAGTTCAGAGACAAGTAGAAACACAGAGTTCTGTTTTTATTGCAAAACCAAGGTCTGTCCATCTATCCATCCTTGATCTTCAAAGGGCAAATGATAGAGAGGTGCTGAATTTTGCTCTTTATTTGGTATCTTTTGTTTGCTTTCTTAATTTGAAATCTGCCAGGTTTGGAAGCCAGTGGTGGGCTGTGGGCTATTCATGCGGCTGGCAGCATGGAGTCAATGGCTATTTTCTTCCCAATTCTACTTCCACCTGGGTGCCTATCCTTTAAATCGTCCATGGTAGATCTGTTTGCCAAAGGTAGACAACAGGGCACATTCGGGACATTTTCTCCTAGGTAACAAATTGCTACACATTTATCAAAATTCACTGAAGGGTGTGTGTGTGTGTGTGTGTGTGTGTGTGTGTGTGTGTGTGTGTGTG